CCCCCCCCTCCAGCAACTTATACTTTATCACTCCAACATTGGATGATACAAAAAGCATAACGCACAAAGCCTTGTCATGGATGGTGACAGTTCACACCACTGCGTTCCGGTGATATGCGCTTAAAAAAAGTAAGGCATGCAGTACTTTTTTTAGGAGTACAGATACATCGCACCGTGGTGAGCTGATAGAACGTAATGAAATGTCACTTGTGGCATTTCATTACGTTCTGTCACTTGAGACATTTCAATATAGTTCTAAGCAAAAAAAAAAACTGCGATGCAGCTCGTTCGAGCGCTCCTGCACTATTCAGGCACACGCACACCAGCAGCCATGTGGTTGAGCGTGGCTGCTGGTATGAACAAGCCGTGAATGGAGAGGACATCCCAAACCTGCTTGTCAAATCACCTGCGCAGTAGCCTGCCAAAACTCTTGGTACAAAAGTACTGTACGTTTTGGTGTGGTGGTTTTTAAAAAAAGAAAAAAAAATGGCTTGCAACCTTTAAAACACTTGTCGAAATGAATGGGCTGTATGTAAAACGTGTATACCCCTTGTTTTCTTTGTAAGGAACACTGTAACTTTTTTTTTTCCTTTTCGCGACAGAGTCGCTTTAAATCTCTCCGTAGTAAACAAAAGGAACGTCAGTCTGTCACTTCTTCCAGCTTTCTGTCTCCAAACGCTCTCCGTAGATAGCAGCCGGAAGCTATTGCACGACCCGGAAGTTCCTGCTATCGCTGCCTCAGAGCTGGCGATGCAGCAGAGTGCTTTGAGTGAAAGAAGTGCGGGAAGCGCAATGTGAGATGTTCTACTGATCTGCTCTGTGTTCTAATATTGTGCAGCCGATCTGTCCGCCTTCAACATGACTAATAAAAGGAAACGACAAGAAGATTTCCAGAAAGTAAAACTGAAGGTTGGGAAGAAGAAGCCCCGAGCTGACAATGCAACCTACACGACATGCAGGATCAAATCCATTCATCTGAGCGAGCAGCTAAGGGACGAGCACTCTCTCCCTACCAGCCGGCGGAAGCTCACCATTACGGTAGTAGCTCACAACATATTTGCTTTCCAACAGCTTTGCATAGTGTTTTTTTTTTAAGAGGGTGAATAGCGACCGAATAAAAGAACGCACTGCATGAGTTGTTTACTGGTTAACGGCCGAAGCGAGTTATTTGGGACACATTAGAATAATATGTTTTCCCTAGTCATAGTTCTTCATGAGCATAGTCAGGCCATTTATGTCCCATTCACTCCTAAAGTGTTTTGTAGCTCAAGTTTCTAAGCTCTGGTTCATATCTGTGATGTGGTGGTGCATGTGTTCCCGCATCACGTGTTGCACTGTTAGGCTTTACTCGCACCTTCAGTTAAGGTGCTTTTTGGTATTCCTGGGGCAGGAGCCTGCAAATTCCTGCAGCAGGAATACTTAATATGCCGTTTACAAGCGGGTGCTGTCACTTGTTCAAGTTAATGATCGGGTGACGGCGGCCGCATTTGAGAGTGAGCACCCTAAATGTAGTCGTATTTGATACACTTGCATACGGTTTGAAGGCGGTCGCTGTCCTGGACGCATCAATCATGTGAAGGCAGTGATCTCTTCCTAAACGCATGTAATCATATAATGTACGATTACATGTAGAGTGGCGGACTGCCGCTGTCACCTGATCATTAACTTTAATGGGTGACAGCGGCTGCTTGTCAATGGCATATTTGGGATTCCTGCTTCAGGAATCCCAATATGTGTTAATCAAGCCTTAGATGTGCCACTCTGACATTATTTCTTAATGGAACGTCAATTGCACGTGCATTGCATAACGCAACCTATTACCAGTTGTTTTGCTGTAAAAAGATTTAATAAAAATAAAGGTGCTTACACTTCTTTGAGTGCAATTAGATGCCCCAGGCAGCTTAGACGACACGGCTCTTCTCTCCTTCCCGCTCTGAGCTCCCTTCCCGCCAATAGCTGGTGGTATTCTGCATTGCACTGTATAATGTACTATTGCTTGGATTTGTAGTCCTCCTATAGCCAGTGCCATTCTGCATTCATTGCTTCATATATTTACACTGTTCCATTTCACTATATTGCACACCGCACTTTTTTTTTTTCTTTTTTACTTCCACCGCTCCAAGCTTGCTCCCGTGATGGACTACAATCTCAATACAAACTAGTAATCCCATCACTGGAGCCATTTTTTTTTAACCGATTAATCGGCTAACTAATCAATTTTGAAAATCGTTAGCTGCAGCCCTAAAATAAATACAAATTTAAAAAAGGAAAAAAATCATGAAAAAAAACAAATGTTAAATGAAAATTAACCCCGCTGCCTCCTCCACCTGCATGCAAATAAATGTGTGCGCGCTCTGCTCCATTCCACTGTGTGCCATATTGTGGTAGCTGTGTGCGGGTGTACTATCTATACCCCATGCTGCTGTCCAGCACACCCCTGCGCTATGGGATTTTGAGATTTTGCTCGCAAATTGCAAGCACTCGTTGTGACCACGCTGACCAATGAGAAGCGCTTCTTAGCACCGTTAAGTACAGTTTTGGTTAAACCGTTTTGTTTGCATCACAACAAGAAGTTTGGGCCCCCGCTTTAGTCCCTTGGACAAGCAGCTTTTAAAAAAAAATTCCGCACCCCTGAAAAGCGCATAACAATCAAGTACTTCAAATGCTTACTTGCATTGTTTTTCCTTTCCATCAATTTTTCATTCACATGCAATGTGCCTTTGAAATTTGTTAGACATTTTTACTAGTCCGTTTACCTAGCACTGACTCCTCCCTCCTTGCACATCATAGCCCTCTACTTGTCTAGGTGTGTCTAAATATTCTTTGTTCTGACCCAGCACATCTGCCCCTGTTTTCACCTTCCTGCATAACCTGTTATGTAGCTTCCGGGAAGGAAAGAAGGTGGATACTTTAAAGTGTCACTGGAGTAACAGAGTCTGCTGGGGCTGTTCATATCCAAGATGTCGGCACCCAGCAGAAGTCTCTGGACTTTTGGATGTCTACAAAAGGAAGGCTTTTACAGGTAAAAAAAAAAAGTGAAATCATGTGACTGAAAGCAGGCTAATAAATTTGCGCTTAGCACATTTTCAATGCATTCCATGACTTTTGGCATTACATGATGGAATTAGGTCCTAATAAATCCAGCTCTAGCCACAACTTCTTCTTTTTTTTTTCCTATATCTGGATAGAGTAAAGAAAGGATAGAAATCACAAGTGTAGTCTGAGTCCTTGTTGAGTTATTTATATCCGACTTTAAATTATTTGTTCTCCCATAGAGGAGTTTTTCTTCTGTCTGACACCTGTTGCCTAGACAGGACGTGAGTGGTCAACTGCATCAAAGGGACGGAGAAAGCAATCAAATCCGCTTCAGGCCTCCGGTCCAGCTGCAGGCTGTAGTTTTCATCCTTGGCCACAAAGCTCCTCAGTGGCTAAAGGGCATGAAAGCACAGCCTGTACCTCCACCATACCAAACAGATCAAGGACAAAAATCAGTATTAACGCGAGTGTACTTGTATTTCCAGAAGAAGGTATCGGTGGCATCCTCAAACTTCCCACAGAACAGATTTTCTTTACATGTGTTCTGTGAGTGAACTCACACTTGAATTGAAAAATGCCTACATTGTTTTAAATACATATAAAAACTCATACCAAACAAAACCTAGTACATTGACTCAGGATAGTAGCAAGTAGTAGTAGGTGAAACGGGAAGAGGAAAAATTAAATGGCTTTACATACATTTTTTACAGTAAATTCCCCATTATCCAGCATCCACGGGAAATGGTAGATTCCGGATAAATTGAACATTTTGGTTGCTTGAGAGTTGCTATTAAAAATAGGTCTAACTAATGCTATACTCCATACTATACCATAACATGAACTCTTTATTGACTTCATATTAATATTGAAATACAATAATCAAAAGCAAATTAAGACAAATAGACGCACTTAGTATTAGTTCTATAATACATGTGCTGTAATACTGTACTGTATAGTAGATCCCAGCCGACCTGAGGAAACTGAACATAGAGGGGTGTGTGCTTACTTATGGCCTGGTGTGCTCTGGGGCTGCCTGACAGTAGATAGGAGATCTACAATATACTGTACAGTATTCCATGAGCCTACAGTACTGATCACTAGGGGACGCATGTGCACAGCTCTCGATCACACACGGCCTCCCACATGATAATACAGTACTGTATCTGTACAGCACCCGTGGCAATCACACTATTCGGCCCCGATCCTCTACCCTTCCATGCTAGAGAGCCCTCTCCTACAAGGTCGCAGAGAAATGGCAGAACAGTGAGTGCACAGTGGATTTTGTTTGCTGGTTAGATGAGAGTTCCAGTTAGTTTAATACCGGTTAACAGAGTTTACTGTAGTAACTTTATTTTATACAATGCTACCTATACCTGTGTGTTTGATTTTTCTGTTTATGAAGATAAATGTATTTTGGTTACTAGTAACTAAGTTCTTTGGTCTCTCTTCTTTTGCAGGATATCCTTTCACAAATGCACCATTACAATTCTGGTGTTAAACACGGGGCTCTCGTTGGTCTTAGAGAAATCCTGTCAACTCATCCTTCATTACTTGATACACACATTTCCAATATAATGAGTGAAGTGACTGCTGTGTTCACCGACAAAGATTCTATGGTTAGGTCGGCCACGATTTCTGTCTTGCAGACTTTGGCACCCATGATTTTTCAAGAGAAGATTTCGCCTTTTTTCCCTCTTATAAGTGCTCACCTCTCCTCTGCTATGACTCATATAATGCCAGGGATTCAGGAAGACTCGCTGAAGATCCTAGATATCCTTTTGGAAGAGTATCCTGACTTACTTATTGATCGTAGTAGTATGTTATTGAACAATTTCTTGGAACTTATTTCCCACCAAAAGAACTCTAAGGAATTAAAAAACGCAGATAAAGCACCAGCTTGGACACTGTCTGTAAATCCTAATCGGAAGGTTACATCTCAGAAGTGGAGGATAAGTGTACTGGGTAGACTAAAAAAGTTTCTTAAGGCATTAGTGAAACGAGCTGTTGAAAGATATCCTGACAAGGAGCAACTTCACGATGGCGCTGAAAATGAACTTGCTGTAAAAGCCAATGTACACATCTCTTGGCAAGAGCATCAAGCTGGTCAGCAACAAATCAGGTTGTTTGATTGTGAGCAAACACAGTTAAGTAAAAACTCCTCATTTCGTCTGAGGTATGTATCATTTACCCCTATTAAATGGTGTATATGCTTATAAAAATGGTTATAACATTTTTGTTGACGCTAAACTATGAATTCCACCCACCCACTACTTTGAACAACATTCATTTTCTGAGGGAAATATGTAAGTTGTCATTGCTTACTTTTTATTCTGAACATAATAATTCCCTGAATGTTATGTACATATACTCTCTTCAGTACTGTCTAAATCAAGGATTCTCAATCAGAGTTCTCCAAGGTGCCCCCAGGGGTACCGCTGCTGGCCACCATTGCAGCGGTATATATCTGCCCAACATTGGCTGCAAACATTTTAGACATGTAATCTCCGCTGATTAAAAAAAAAAATGGAGAAAATAAACCTGAGCACTTTTCCACTGTAACCAATCGTTTCTTAGTAGGATAGACCGTGAGAACCATTTTCCGAATCATTAGTGAGTTTGAATACCAATGCAAAGTGACTTATTGTATTCTTTTATTTATTGTTATTCCTACAGCTTGCTGATCACACTAATGTACCTGGAGCTGTAGATGCAAAATATATTTCAGGGGTTCACTGAGGCCTCAACAATGTTTTCAAGGGTAAAAAGGTTGACAAAGGCTGGTCTAAATCATTGACTTTGAGCAAGTTTACAAATCGGGAGATTTGCCTTTACATGCTGTGTCTTTTTACTCTTGAGTGACTCAATGTATTGAGCTGGAGACAGCCAGCTAACTAGTATTTTCAAATGGTCAGCAGTGGCGCCTTACATGCTGCTTCAGTACAGGTTTCCTTAAGTGAGATGACATAGAAAAGGAGAACGTATAGAAAGTCATAAACAGGAAACTGGGGAAAAAATGAGCTCAGAAACTGATAGATTGATTTAAGCATCCACCACATAGAATATTTAAATCCAAAGGAGTTAGCTGGACAAGACCATGGGTATATATGGAAAAGAGAAATGGTTCAAGAGTGCAACCTTGCAGTACACCAACTTACAACTTTCTCTCCACACTTTCTGTATGGGGGTATGTAACACCAGAAGCCTGTCTGAAGAGCAAAGAGGACATTGAAGTGACTCTAGGATCATAGATTTTTGCGGTTTGAACATGAGAGGGCAAGGAAAGAGAAGGTTTGAGAATAGTTGAATATACTGTTCAGCTATGATGATGCCATCTCTACCACCGTGTTTGATACCAAGCTAGTGGGGTATGACTATAAAAGAACCTGAGAATGTGGATAGGTTTAACATCCTAAGAGGGCATTCCAAAGGGTGCAGGTTAAAGGATCAGGAGAAGTGGGAAAGATTGTTTTCCAATATTAGTTTAAGGGTTGCCTGTAGAGCTGCAACAATTATTCGATAAGCCGATTAAAATCGACGATGGAAAACGTTGTCAACGTTTTCCATCGTCGGCTACAATTAAAATTGCCCGCCTGTTCGCGGCTCCATACACAAGCTACGCTACGCCCACCGTGCACACGTCGCGTACGCCCACACACGCTAAGCCGGACACACGCCTGCAGAGCACGCCACCGCCACTACTTACAAGGGTTCAGAAACAGGTAAGGGGGACCTGTTTTAATGTTTCCTGTTTAAAAAAAAAAAGCTGCACACTGCAGAACACCAGCAGCTATAGAGGAACAACAAATCCCAGCAATAATACATTAAGCAGCCTGTATAATGTATTATTGCTGGGATTTGTTGTTCCTCTATAGCTGCTGGTGTTCTGCAGTGTGCCGCTGTATTATACATTGGTATTCTGCATTGTATAATACAGCGGCACAATGCAGAATACCAGCGCCCAGTAGGGAGGAGAGCAGCGCCCAGTAGGGAGGAGAGAAACCAGGCATGCACCGCTATTTCAGTGCCATTTTCGGCTGATATGTTTTGGCGGCCGAAGTGTGTGTGGAAATTTAAAAAAAAAAACTTCTTGTCCAAGGGCTAAAGCGGGGGCCGAATCTTCTTGTCCCTCATGACAATCTACTTGTCCCAATACAAAAAAATTGTTTTAATCAAAACTAGGGATGCACCGATATAGGTTTTTGTGTATCGAGTACTGATATTTTGTTTTTGGTACTCACCGATAACGAGCATTGGTGCTTCCGTTTGCATGGAGCAGGCAATCGGGAAGCTGGACAGCGGGTAATTACATGCTACCCAGCTTCCTGATTGCCAGGGAAGCCGACTCCATGGGCCGACTTGATTGTGATTGGCCGGGAAAACGGCTTCCAAGCCAATCAGGAAACGGGCAGCGAGTAATGACCTGATTGGCCGGGAAGCCGGCTCGATGTTCAGAAAGCAGGGCAGTGACTAATGACCCGACTCCCGGTTTCCTGGTTGGCCGGGAAGCCGGCTCACCAAGGTGCTGGCTTCCCGTCCAATCAGGAAATCGGGAGGTGGGTCATTAGTTGCTGTCCTGCTTCCTGATTGCATGGGAAGCTGGCTCCATGTTCCCCTACGGCACTGCCGGTCAGAGGAAATCTTCAGCTGACCGGAAGTTCCAGTATTGGGGAAGGTATCGGAGCATTTGGGGCGAGTACAAGTACTCTGCCAAATACTCTGTATTGGTGCATCCCTAATCAAAACTGTATTTGACTGTGCTAAATAGCGCTTCTCATTTGTGTGTGTGTTTTTTATTTTTTGAGAAGTATGACATTTTATAATATTTAGATAGCGGCCCCCTCTGGTAGCTGCAGCTACCAGAGACCCGGCCATTACGCTGAACTTTAACTGTGAGATGTAAGTATAATAGCTGTACCTACTGTATAAAGTTATTGTCCAAGCATGCTAGCAGAGCCCAAAGATATTTTCATTTAATGCTACCAAATGCTTTTCCATGGTCAAGGAAGAGTATTGCTGTCTGTCCAGCATTGTCAATTGATGCCTTTTATACTTTGAAAAACTCTCCTTTTTCTAAGTATAGAGGAGGAATTAGACCCTAGATGCACTTGCAGATGGGGCTGTGACTGCAGGAGTCTCCTGGCTCTAAATCTCAGGGCTTGTTTACACCAACCAGATCGGAAAGTTATTTTTTTTTCTTTTATTCATCTGGGCTAAAAATGCGTACACATTATTTTCAGTGGTACAAAGGAGGCTGGTTCACACCATTGCGTTCCGTTACAGAGCTTTTTTAAAGAAAAAATAAAGTCCAGCATACTTTTTTTTTTATCTGGAACGCACCAGAAACGCATGCAAAGTAATGTAAAGCATGTAAAAACACAAGAACGCACTGTAATGCACTTAAAACCCAAGCAAAACCAACTGAGAACAAAAACAAAATGTACCCGAATGCATCAAAAACATGTCAAAATTCACATACACACATTTGCGGAAATGTATCCAGGTCTGGAGATGGTGTGAACAATAGGGCTGCAGCTAACGACTATTTTCATATTTGATTAGTTAGCCGATTATTAACTTCGAATAATCGGATAAAAAAATACCGTCATTTATTTAAAATAAAATGCACAAATGCGGCGTTACAGACCTAAAGTTTACTTCAGAATAAAACGGTATGCGCATTTTTGAAATCGAAATGGCACTGCAACGCACCTCTGCAGCAAAATTTATCAGGCTGAAAGTGATGTATATATACATATACATACATACATAT